AGAGAGAGAGAGAGAGAGAGAGAGAGAGAGAGAGAGAGAGAGAGAGAGAGGAGATGAGAGTGATGTCAAGGTATGACCTCAAATTCTGAAAAGAAAGACCAAGAGATATCATGGGCGAGCGAGAGAAAAGGGGGGAGCGATAGGGGCTGGGGAGAGCGGGACATGCAACGGAGAGCAAGGGGGAGAGAGGGAGAAGGGATAGACAGGGAGGGAGATGCAGAAAGGAGGAAGAGAAGCAGAGAGAGACAGGGAGACAAGAGAGAGCAAGAGAGAGAAGGACAGAGATGGAGAGAGAAGGACAGAGATAAAGGAAAAAAGAACTGACGGAGGAAAGATGCAAACAGCGAGAAAGGACGAGGGAGGATGGGGAGAGAAAAGGGGGCACAGAGAGAGAGAGAGAGAGAGAGAGAGAGAGAGAGAGAGAGAGGTATCGAGATAAGGTGAGAGATAGGGAGAGAGATGGAGATGGGTCGTGAGGGGGAAAAGAGAGACAGGAAGAGAGAAAGAGGCATACAGAGACAGGAATAACGGAAGGAGGAAGGAGAAAGAGGAAGAGAGCAGGAGCGCGGGAGAAAACCCATGCCACATGCGCATGCTGTCTGTGCTAACCTAGTGGCAAGAGAAAAAAAAAAAACAATTACTTATAATGCAAAACAATTATGAGGCAAAAAACAATTATGACTTTGTGAAATTACGAGGGCAAAAACAATTATGAATTTGCGAAATTACCAGGGAAAAAACAATTATGATTTTTTGTGAAATTATGAGGCAAAACAATTACAACGCAAAAAATTAATTATGAATTTCCGAAACTAAGAGGCAAAAAAAATAAAATAAAAAAAAATGAAATTACGACGCAGGAAACAATTATAAAGCAAGACTATTATTTATAAAAAATGCGGACATGCTACAGGTCTGGATGTCGGGATCGCGATACTATTTTGCCTCCTGTAGCTCACGGCGAGAATCCGGACTTGCTACAGGAGGATGCAAAATACTATCGCGATCCAGATAGGTCTTGTCGTCTAGCGGGAATTACTCAACGGTTAAGCGCGCAAGAGAAAGGGCGAGAGGCTTTTCACACTGGGATTCTTTTTTTCAACTCGGTTCTGGGCGGAATTACGGTCAGATACATCCACTTCTCTCTGTAATTGTCGTCAGATACATGCAGGAAAAACCCAGTGTGAGCAAGCCCTTTCGGACAACTCGCACTTTCCTGTCCATTCTTTTTCTCTCCCTTCCTTGTGCGCGCCTAGTTCAAGATCAAAGATCAAAAAAAAAAAAAAAAAAAAAAAAAAGATCAAAGATCGATTTTTTTAATTTCCTTCCGCTTTATCAACAAAGGGCGTCGTTCGGTCGGGATCTCTACCGTTTAACAAACGATCCCATCATTATATCCGCTAATTTCTTTCCCTTTCGAAGGAGGGAGAACCTTAACGAGATCATTGGAGGAGGGGGGGAGAGAGGAGGGGGGGGAGAGAGAGAGGAGA